GGTAAAAAAAAAAACCCCAAAAAAAAAAAAAAAAAACCGCGAGCCTGCTGCTGAGTCTAGTGCCCTCTGACCTCCGTGAGGGTGGGTGGGGAGAAGGCAGAGAGACTGGGAGAGCAGAAAAAGGAGAGACGTTTAAACACTTACTGGCAGAGACATTTCCAATTCAATCCACAACTGATTTATTTTCCTACCACACTGGGTACATCACCCTTGGTTTCTCTCACTGTGGCCTAAACGCACACACTTGTAAAGAAAAACGGTTGAAGTTATAAGCAAATTGCACCCTGGAGACCAAACACCACACGTTTACACCGTGTCAAGGCTTTTTTCTTTTCTTTTTCTTTTTTAAGATTTTTACTATAAGGTGTGTGCGCTCACCGGAGAAACGAAAAGACAGACAGAAAGCGGGAAATCACCCCCAGAGGATGCCCGTGCCACAACCACTTCTCTGGCCCTGCAAAGGCTGCTTTGGCTGTGGGCTACCTTCCGTATAACGCACTCAGATGTGCATGATGCTGCTGGTTCAGTGGGAGAAGTACCAGCAGAAAAGTCAAGAGACTTTCTGTTTTCTGCTTTGCCTTAAACTCTATTAAGGAGCTCAGGTGAGGTGCTTATTAACCATTCTGACTCCCATTATTCTTAGATGCATTTAGAAAAACAAACAAAAAAAACAACTAGGGGCTGGCAGGTGATGTCACGGGTAAGGGTTCTGGACTCCCACACGGCCAACCACAGTTCAAGTCCCGGACCTGGCAGCTTTCTCTCTCTCTCTCTCACTCTTCTCCTCCATTCTCAAATTGAAATAAATAAAATTAATGAAAAATAAAGTTAAATACAATAATTTAAAAAAGAGAAAGAAAACAAACTTTGTTTGAATTCTATAGTGAGATTTTGTTTTGTTTTGTTTTTTTGTTTCAATTTATTTATTTGCATTCATTCACTGTACATCATTACAACATACAAAATGAGATTTTCCATCCAGAGTATACTGTATATTGTCTCAATCAAGCACATCAACATACATGTTATTGTCAGCAGATGATCTTCCATTTCTTGTTTTCTGT